AATACTTTCAAGTATTAATAGATGATTACTCACATTTTTTAGTAGTAAGATTATTAAAAAATAAACATGAAGCAGATCAAAATATTATTCAGTTTATTAAATTAATTAAAACTCAGCATAATCTAAAAACGCAAAGAATTAGAGTTGATAATGGTGGTGAATTTACATCTAATGCATTTAGAGATTTTTGTAAAAATAAAGGTATTAAAGTGGAATATACAATGCCATATACTCCACAAGAAAATGGGATTTCAGAGAGAATGAACAGAAGCTTATTAGACAAAGTAAGAACCAAATTTGCTGAAACTAATCTACCCAGAGAGTTATGGGGGGAAGGCAATTCTGTGCTCAGCATATGAATAAAATTAGAACACCTACTAAAAGCAAATAACGGAGAAACACCTGCCACAGAGATGAGTACCATATAAAAATGATTATCAAACATGAAAGTATATGGAATTAAGCATGGCAATAGTCTTTCCAAAACAAAGCAAATTAGAAAGAAGGGCACAACCTTGCATAAATGATAGGATATACAGGAGCTAGGATATAGATTGTGGAATTATGAAACTAATGAAATTTTTGTTCAAGAGATGTGAGATTGATGAAACATTAACTAATAATGATGAAAATCACTAAGAACCGAATATGATGATGATACAAATAAGAAAACAATAGAAGTACAGTATAGAAGAATGACCTGCAAGGGGGAATAAATTGATATAGAGATAGAAATTCAAGATGATTATTTAAATGAAGCTAATGACGATGGAAACAGAGAATATAAGTTCAGAAAATTATGAAGAATGCATAATGCCAAAGATAGAAACAACAAAAACAGGAAAAAAATAAAAGCACCCAAATATTTAATGTGAATTATGAGACTTATACAGCATATTGATAAGTATTCAACAGAAGAAAAATGAATCTTTAAGCTATGAAATCCATAAAAGATCCTGAATGGGTAGAAATCCATAAGAAAGAGCTACTTTCACATTAAAAGCTAAGTACATGGACATAAAGTAGAATTACCTAAACATAAAAAAAGCTATTCAAACAAGAAATGGTTTTAGAACAAAGATGATGGAACTAAAAAGCCAGAAATAGTAGCCAAAGGATTCAAATTAAGGAGGGAGTAGTGAATTTGAACCAAATTACTCCCAGTAGCAAGAACATCAACAATAAACTAATTTTATCAAAAGCATTACATAAAAAAATGAATTGGAAAATCAGACAAATTGGATATCGCCAACTGCATTTTTAAATGGATTACTTGATAATGATGTCTATATTATATGCACCATGAAAGGACTTACATAAAATAAACTCAGAGTATTAAAATTGAATAGAGCTTATACGGCTTAAAAGAATCATCAAAGGTATGGAATAATACATTCATGAATTTGTTAGTCAAATATTTTTAAAGATCTATTTATGATTGGTTGATTAAACAATAACAAAAGGTTGGATATTAATATATTAGATGAAAATTAATAATAGGAGAAGAAATGATGTTCAATGTATTATAACATTATACAAGATAAATGTTCTCAGGCAAAAGATTATAAAGGAAGTTAAAAATTTTTAGGTATGAATATTTACTAGGACAAAGATCCTATAAAAATTGATCAAGAAAAGATTTTATAGAAAAACGTTTTGAACATTTTAATATGAAGGAATGTAAACCAAAAAGACACTCCAATGGAAAAGGGATTTCAATACCTTGAGGTCAGTGAAATTCTAACTAATATTCCATACAGGCAATTAATTGAGGACTGATGTAATTAATTCAACCAACACGGGGGGGGGGGAGTAAGGCCAGACATTAAGTGTATGCAGTGTCATACTTTAGAAGATTTTTAGATTGTCCTACTACAGAGACATGGAAATTCAGGAAAAGAGAATTTTAAGATAACTACAAGGAAGTAAGAAACTGGTATAACTTATTATAAAAATACAGATTGCCAGATAACACACAATGGAAATTCATAAAAGCCGATTGGCAACAATAAATGGTTAGGAAAAGTGTGAGTGGATGTATATTTTATAATGCGTACAAACAACCCAATATCATGGTTATCAAAAGAAAACAAAACAGTGTGCCAATATCAACAGCAGAAGCAGAATACATTGCAGCCAGCACAAACCACTCAAGAACTTAATCAATGTCAAGGGTATACAGGGAAATTTTTAATGTATTGTCAAAACCATTTTTAATGTACTGTGACAATAAAAGTACAAGTATTAATGTCTAACAGTAATGAAAATTCAAAAAGAGTCAAAACATATAGATAAAAAAATCGATTTTATTAAAAGACATAATTTCTCAGAAAGATGTAGATAATGGATTATATATCAACTGAGCAAAATTTAGCTGAAATTTTAACTAAATCTTTAGGTACCGAGACTTTCATAAATCTAAGAAATAAAATTTTATGTTAATTAAATTGTAATATCCCCCCCCCCCCCCAAAAATTTTAGTTAATTATAAATAGTTACAATTATCATGTTCCAACATTTCAAATCGAGGAGGAGTAATGGAATTATTGTACTTGCCACACCTGCTCACAATTCCTTTAAGTGATTCCGGTTGTCATATAGTCAGTTGTAAAATATATATTATGAAGAATGTAGCACATGTTTAAGTTTTTAGTACTTTTGTAAAATAAAGTAATCAAATAATTCACTGCTATCTCTGTATTACCTCACTGGGAAACAACAAATTCTAATAACACTTACCCCAGACTAGTGGAGTAAGTTTAACCCATGGGCCCCAAAAATAAAAAGGTAACAAAATAAAATTGGAAGGTGTGATTCGCTCGTATGTTTGTGTAGCAGTGAGTTAATATGTCTACAGTAATCTTGCCAAAAATAAGTCATATCTAGAGATATATTTTTTGGCCAATGCACTTCAAACAGGAATTACTGAAATTCACTATTCCACTTACCCCGGTGTACCTTATAATGAAATATATATAAAAAACGTTGGGACAAAACTGATATACTCCGGTGGACATCAACGATTTATACATATAAACGATAATAACATTCAACAATGAGAAGTAAAAGGGCAAGGGGGATGGATATAAATGGCAAAATCTCAGTATACAATGATATTAAATCAATATTTCAAACCAACAAAGACAATACCAGATACATAGATCATAAGAGAATTATTGCCCATTCCTGACATTTATTGGGTTTTATGTAGTTGTAGTTTAGCTTAAATTGAAAAAACAGAACGTAATGTAATTACTCGTTTGACTGAATAAAAGAGAATTTTGTCTCTGTCAGCACCACACAATTAACAAATTTCATTTGGAAATGGGTTGGGGATCCCAGCCCATATAGATGCTGAGATTCAGGGATAATCTCTTAAAATAATGTATCATTACAAACTAAGAGCCACGAAATTTGAGACTCCAGGTGAATATCTCGAATTTATTGTAGCACAAACAAATATAGAATAAGTAAAAGAGTTCATCGAAATATTAATTAAAAAATAAATAAAAAAAAAACAAGCTGAGCAAAAAATATAGCTATATGGCTAGATTGGCTACATGTGCATCTTACATACTATAGACTATTTGATCAGTATTCTTTGATTGATTTATCATTCAATCGACCTATTCTACAAAATATCTAATGATACGAAAGATAATACTGAAAATAGCTAAAGCTAGGGACCTAAATGGACCATGATTTTTCATTATTTGATATTAAAAACAATATTATTTGATCAAAATAAAAATGAATAAAAATTCACTGGTTATACATTGAATTATAAAATGACGTTAGATGAAACGAAATAATTGTATAATGGAAGGTATAGAAAAATATAACTAAGATGGGTTTAAATTATACGGTATAGCAGAAGGTTAAAATAAAGAAGAGTTTTATCTTCAAATATACTTATCGCTGATTAGATAGATATAATATAGAATATTCATCGGCCGAAGCTCGTAAAATAGTGATAGAGGGAGTAAAGGGCGAATAGTACCTCTATATAAATATAATTATATTTTCTTCCCTTTTAGCAAAATTTATTGAACTATTCGCTATGTGCAAGTTTGGAAGAGAGACACCTAGTATCATAGATAAGCAAAGTTTTGAGCGGTTTTAATATATTATTCGTATATAAACTGCTCATAAAATGACTTAAGCTTGTTTATTTAATACAATAATTATTATTGTAATTTATATTAACTTCGAAAAATTTTTAATATATTTTAACTGTAAAAATGGGTACCTACATAAGTATATTTTTTACGTTTAGATTTCATTTGAATATTTTAGACAGAGGTTATTAAAAAGTAAACATTTTGGAAGAGGACATCTAGTGTGGCGAAGCGAATCAGCAAAGTTTTTAGTAAACTGCTAATAAAATGACTTAAACTTGTTTATTTAAAACAATAATTATTGTAATTTATATTAGAAATCCACTTCTCTTTGCGTTAATTTGTGCTTATAATTTGGAAACGAATACAACTTTAATTGTCTATTTCTTGCTGGATTTTTACAATTGCCAACACAGCATTTGCAAAATCTCATTTTCTTCTATGATAATAATACTTATAAAATGTGCACTACATGCGCACGATCGTTTCTCGTATCCCCTCCAAGTACTTGCACACAGTGAAGATTTCTGCGCTTTTTCGTGACTTTGAATATATTATGTACCTACATAAAGATTTATGACCACCAAAACAGTCGTGACGTTGTTAGCAAATATGAATAATAAATATTTGGTTATCATTTAAAAATAAATAAATTACAGCATTTATATCATATCAAAACCTTATCAAATATGCAATTTATTCAATCCTATCGACTGATCTCGATAAAATCATGTATAATTAACAATTGATATTTAAATTGCTTTTAGAAGTATTGTATCCCTATCCACACTAATCATAACTTAATAACAACTTAAAAACCCGTCAGTCATAAAAGGAACATAACATCATTCAGGTATAGATCATTAATTTTATTAGCGGGTGCTAGCTACCATCGCTGCTATTACTACTCGAGTCTTCCACATCACAGAACTGTAAGGTAAATCCCTGTTTTATTATATTTATTTTGGACATTAGATTGTGTAAATCTAAAATTTCCTTAATAATAAAATCTGGTTTAGGTGCATGGATCGATAATTTCTCATTATTTAATGGTAACCAGATACTTGCGCCAAGTTTTGAGTTGATGCTGCCTAAAAATAAAAAAAACATGATAAGTAGATACCAAAATAATATATTTATTGCGTCACGTAAATATCTTAATAAAAATGTAACAGTAAATTTTTACTCCGTTAAATTTTTACGACGAAGTAAAATTATAACGACACATTTTTACCCTAGAGTAAAATTTTAACATTAAATTTTTACTCTTTGTTAAAATTATACTATCTTATTTGGAGTAAGTACCACATTGGAAAAATTCATCTATCATATGTTAAGAAAAAATATTTAGGTGCGTTTTTGCGGAAATGACAGTGAAACAATAATTATTAGAGAGTAATTTTTTGGAGTGGGGTGCATTTAAAATCATTTTAAAAAGTTACTTTACAATTTAAGTAAATATTTTTCGTATTCCCCTTTAAAATTGCAGTAAATTAAATAAAATAATATAAACTTAAATTAAAATCGAGATCTATTTCTAACAAAGATTTATTTTAGACTAACTTATTATTTATTCTCTATCGGAAACGACAAATTCGTCACCAACAAAGAATGATTTCACATTTTGTACTTAAAAAGAGCCATACTGATAAGACGTATTTTTACATTGTATTTACAGGTCCGTCGTGAGTATTTCTTTGTTACAGTCGGCCAAACCTGACACCTTCGCGCCCTCGAGAAGCCTCAGCGACGTTTACCTGTAACAGAAACAAAAACATAAATTAGTTACCATAATAAGCCTAAGCTTCTTGGTGTAAGTTGACTTCTTCCTCGGACGTTTCCGAGCTTACACCCGTTTTATACAACTTTATCTTATCAGAGGGACATATACCCTTGTATGACAGGCGCGTACGTTTCGCTCCTGTCACGTCTTTTACAACATATCGATCTTTATCGAATACTTTCGTTATTATAAAGAGACCCTTATAGCGTGGCTCGAGCTTGGTACTTTTACCATCATTGGCGCTTTTCGTCCTCTTTACGAGCACGTATTGCCCGACTTCATATACATGGGGACGGACATGTCTGGAGTCGTAGGCCCGTTTCTGAACCAGTTGCTGTTCGGCAATCCTATCAGAAACCTCCTCTCTAACTACAGCTAAGTCCTCATGTTCGTCTTCGCATACCTCAGCGCTAAGGAATGCGTCATTTATGCCTCTAGGCCGATAACCCAGAAACACCTCGTAAGGCGCCTTGCCGGTAGTAGAACAAACTGTTGAGTTTATTCTCCACCGAACCTTGCTAACCACTTCATCCCAACGCTTTTCGATTTCGACTGTTGCAGTCAGAGCATTAAGAATGACGTGATTTATCCGCTCTACTTGGCCGCTTGCCCTTGGAGTAGCGGTAGCACATAAAACGTTTTATTCCGAGGCTACCGCAAAAACTTTTGAAAGTCTGGCTTGTATATGCAGTGCCTCTATCCGAGATTATGCGCCGTGGAACACCAAAAAGCTCTATAATTTCATTTAGGAATTTTATTACAGGATTCGTACTTGTTTTGGGCACTGCTTTCATAAAGGTGAACTTCGTGAATCCATCCACAGCCACGATAATATAGCTGTTCTTTCTTTTGCTTTTAGTAAAGGGGCCCAGATGATCTAAATGGATTGTATCCATTGGTATTGCCCTTTTCTCTATTGGGTTTAGAATACCAGTCGGTTTACCAGCTGGTTTCTTATTGTATAGGCAACCTAATCAACACGAGATATAGTTCTTCGTATAATTTCGCATTGCAGGAAACCAATATCTTTTTGAATAGCCTCCAAGGTCTTATCCAACCCGAAATGGCCTGCACCATCATGGTAGTACGTTAAAATATTCTTTCTTACTGCCTTGGGTACGAGCCAACCTCTTCCTTTGGGTGTTTTTCTATAAATTCTATTATCTTTTAGAACATACTCCTTATGAACATTTCGTTCTTCTTTACTAGTGGGTACTCCAGACAAGATTTTGTGTAAAGTTTTACAGCGGTTGTCAGTGAGTTGTGCAGAGAGCACCCTAAGAACAGGATTGCTGTTTAGGCCATCGACATGGTTCATTTTTGAGCCAGTACGATATTCGACTTCAAAATAAAATTCTTGAGTATACAACCACCATCTACCAATCCTTGGAATCAGATCACGTTTAGTTAGGGTAGCACGCAACGCATAACAATCAGTAATAACCTTAAATTGAATACCTAACAAATATACTCTAAACTTTTTCAGCGAATTAACCACGGCTAGCGTTTCTAGCTCATAGGAGTGGTAGTTTTGTTCTTCTTTGGTAGTTGACCTGCTAAAATATTGTATCGGCTTTAATTCTTCATTTGGTTGCACTTGTAGTAAGATGCCTCCAATTCCTATTTTACTAGCATCTGTATGAAGTTCCGTAACTGCCTTGCGATCGTATATCGCCAGCAATGGTCTTGACGTTAGTTTTGCTTTGAGCTCAACGAATGCATGTTCTTCATCAGCTGACCAGTTGAAAGTGATATTCTTTTTCGTTAGATTAGAAAGTGACTTTGCAATAGCTGCGAAATTTCTGATAAACTTAGAAATCTTAGGTGGGAGTAGGAAAGTTTGATACTGCCATTATATTTTCATTTCCAGGCTGTATACCATCTCCGGATATCTCATGTCCCAAGTATGAAATATTATTTTGTAGAAAATAACATTTTTGAAGTCTCAGTGTCATGCCAGACTTCTTAATCAGTTCTAGCACTGTTTCTAAACTCTTAAGACCATCTTCGACATTTACCGATGGTATGAGAATATCATCTGGGTAAGCAAGAGCAGTAGTGAAACGAAATGAGCCTAGAATCTCGTTAATTGTCCTTTGGAAAACTGCTGGGATATTGACTAATCCAAAGGGCATTCGTAGATACTCATAATGACCGTCGGGAGTAATAAATGCTGTCTTAGCAATAGAGTCTTCTTCTACTGCAATTTGATGGTATCCTACTGCCAGGTCCAAACTAGTAAACCAATAACAACCCTTAAGGTGGTCTAGAAGATCATCGATTCGAGGTAGGGGATATCGGTCCTTAACTGTCTTCCGATTTAATGCGCGGTAGTCAACACATAACCTCACTTCTCCATTTTTCTTCTTGATTAGTAGTATTGGGCTTGCGTATGGTGAATTAGATTCACGGATAATGTCATTATCTAAAAGTTCTTGTACTACGTCACGTACTTTTCCTCGTTCTGAGTAGGATAGTCGATAGGGTCTGTATGTTATAGGAACATCGTCGGCTAATTTTATGGTCATTTTCGTGGTGGTACTTTCACCCAGTTGCTCAATGCTGTAGGCAAAACATTCGGGATATTGATTAAGAATATCCAGTAATTGTTCCGTGTATTCAGCACTCAGAATTTCATTGACATTGACGTCTTCAAATGTCAATTTACGTATAATAGAAGTAGAAGTAGCTAAGCACTTTAAATATGGTAAGCCCTGCGCTTCATGGAAATTGAAACTTCTGGCGACCATGGCACCTTTCAAATACTCCACTGGTTTGTCTGAACCATTGAAAATTGGTAGAACAGAGTCTTCATCTAGATTCAGGATACAACGAGGAATGACATGAAATTGGAAGGCCACGGTCTATGCTGCAAGTCAACAAAAATGTCGCCACTCTTTTGATCACTATGTAGTATGATATGACCTAAATGATGGAAAGGTATAACCGAAGTTTCTTTAGCCCACAAAGTGACTTTACGGGAAGGTAGGGCTGCAACAACCCTTAAATCCGCTTTGTGTTTGTTAAAAAGTCTGACTTGTTCGCCGTGTACTGTCATAATGACGTTTTAATTATTGATGAATGGCTGTCCAACTGTAATAGGTATCTGTTAAAGCTAAATTGACACGTAAATCAATACAAATCTGTAATAGGTATCTGTTAAAGCTAAATCGACACGTAAATCAATACAAATCTTAAAGTTTGGTATCTAGCTAAAGCTAAATCGACACGTAAATCAATACAAATCTGTAATAGGTATCTGTTAAAGCTAAATCGACACGTAGATCAATACAAATCTCAAAGTTTGGTATCTAGCTTAAGCTAAATCGACACGTAAATCAATACAAAACTGTAATAGGTATCTGTTTAAGCTAAATCGACACGTAAATCAATACAAATCTCAAAGTTTGCAAAAACTCATCCACCACCGTAACTACGTAACATTATTTTTACAGGTTTAAGGTCCAAATTTACCATTTTGGCTTCACTATAACGTAAAGTAACAGCTTTGCTACCCGAATCAACATAACCCCTAAATATATGGCCATTTACATCACAATCAATAAAGTAGCATGCATTATAGTTAGCAGAATTGTTTTCATTCATGCACATTAATTTATTATTATTGGAATTCATGTTATTTTTAGTTACTAGTAAATATGGTTTATACTCACTTTCAATCATCTTGAGATTACCTGACTTATTTACAATTTAAAACAATTGGAGATGTCATGTCAAAGAATAATTCTTTGGTCATGTCTTAGAAGACGACAGTGCTTGCATTCCAGTTTTTCTCAGAAACATTTCGCTGCAACATGTCCTCTGGGACCGCAATTGAAACACCTGGTATTTGACGACCATGCTGTACTGTTGTGCTACCTTACTGTTGTTTTCTCACCTCCACAACCTTAGATGACATGCTTGGCGAATAAGATATTTTTTAGATCTACTTCTGGATCTACCCATGACTTATAAGTTATAGCTTAAACCGTATATTTAAACCGTATAATGTCTAAAGTTAAAGCTTAAACCTTATATTTAAACTATAACTTAGTTAATTCAAAACTTATTTTTAAATTAGCAAATAAATAAATATCGGTCTAAACCGTATCTTAATATCTAAAGTTAGAGCTTAAACCTTATATTTAAACTATAACTTAGTTAATTCAAAACGTATTTTTAAATTAACAAATAAATAAATATCTATCTAAACCGTATCTTAATATCTAAAGTTAGAGCTTAAACCTTATATTTAAACTATAACTTAGTTAATTCAAAACTTATTTTTAAATTAACAAATAAATAAAT